CCTTCTTTCTCACCCTCCCCTTCTTTCCTCCCTCCCATTCTCTCCTTCCTTCCTTCCTCCCTCCCTTCTTTCCTCCCCTTCTTTCCCACCCTCCAATTCTCTCTCTCCTTCCTCCCTCCCTTCCTTCCTCCCTCCTTCCTTCCTTGCTCCCTCCCCTTCTCCTTCCTCTCTCCTTCTCCTTCCTTCCTCCCTCCCTCCTTCCCTCCCCTTCTTCCTCCCTCCTTCTCCTTCCTCCCTCCCTCCCTCCCTTCCATCCATCCATCCTTCCTTCCTTCTTTTCCTCCCTCCCATTCTTTCCCTTCCTTCCCTTTCTCCCTCCCATTCTCTCCTTCCTTCCTTCCTCCCTTCCTCCCTTCCCATTCTTCCTTCATTCCCTCTCTCCCTCCCATTCTCTCCTCCCTCCCATTTTATTCCTTCCTTCCTTCCTTCCTTCCTTCCTTCCTTCCTTCCTTCCTTCCTTCCTTCCTTCCTTCCTTCCTTCCTTCCTTCCTTCCTTCCTTCCTTCCTTCCTTCCTTCCTTCCTTCTTGGTCCCCAGACCTCTGGAGTGTCTGATGAGGAATTCAAACTTGCCCCCCTTCCCTGTACTTGAACTGAGCAGAACACGTTCTTCAAGACCCCCTACGTAGAAGACTTAACTGGATGGCCGGGCCATGTGAAATGGGCCATGTGAAATTAGCCTACTCCCCAGACTGGGGTTCAGCTGACCAAGATCTCTTTTGTCTCCTTTTAGATCTCCAGAACAAGGTCTTTGTTTTCCCAGCACCATCTGACACGGCCGCTGTGCATCTCCAGGTCTCCAAACAGCAACCTTTGACCAAGCTGACTGTTTGCTTGAGATACTACACCCTCCTGTCCCGGGCGTACGGCCTCTTCTCTTACGCCACCCGGTCCAGTGACAACGATTTTCTGATCTACAAGAACCAGGCCAACGTATATGCCATTTACGTTGGTAATTCCTTCGTAAATTTCAAGGTTCCTTTGAAGGAGAAACCGAGCTGGGATCACATCTGTGTGTCCTGGGACTCCAGCAATGGGCTGGTCCAGTTCTGGCTCAACGGAGAACCGTTTCCTCGACAGAGTGTGAAAAAGGGCCACAGCATCGGCCAGGAGGCTTCCATCGTGCTGGGGCAGGACCAGGACTCCTTCGGAGGGGGGTTTGAGAGCGCCCAATCCTTTGTGGGGGAGATGACAGAGGTCAAAATGTGGCCCCGGGTGCTAAGCCTTGTTGAGATTAGAATGGTCATGGACAACATTGAGCCTCATGGCCCGCTGATATACTGGAGATCCCTGAACTACACCCTCAAGAACGAGGTATTTGTGGAGGATTTCCTGTGTTCCCAAGGGGTATGCACTTGAGTTGGAAAAAAGAAGAAACGAAAGAAAAGAAAAGAAGAAAATAAAATAAAAGAATAATAAAAGAATAAAAGGAAAGAAAAAAGAAAAGAAAATTATCTTTTGGGGGGGGGGGGAAATCTACATTTCTGCAATGGGATGCCAATGGCTCAAGTAGCCTTGAATGAATTACAGGCAGGTGATCCATGCTTGAAAAGCTGGTGTGAGGATGCTGGTTTCTTTATCAATAAAATTAACTTCTTTGGTCATGTTTGGCTGCCTGTTCCTTGTGGGTTCTTCTTATTGGTGTAGGGCCCTCAGTAGCACCACAAAGCATCTACAGATAGAATTTTGCAAGCCTTGGCATGAATCTCTCTGCATTTTTCTTCCTTCTTCCCTTTCTCTCTTCATTCTCCTCCCTCCCTCCCTCCCTCCCTCCTGACTCCCCAAGGTGTATCCACCTGAGTTGGAAGAAAAAAGAAA